CCCCCCCCCCCCCCCCCACTCCTGACCCCGCCCCTCTGACTTTTCCCTTGTCTTTGTCCCAGAGCGACTTTTAAAAGCCCCGTTTGTTCAGAAAGTTCTGCCTGAAGAGGGAGGGCCTGTCCCAGGGGCCTGGGGAGAAGTCGGAGAGGATTTGGATGTGGATGGACCTTGAAGGGGTGTGTCGGGCAGATGGATCGGCGGAGCGTCATCCTTTACGGCTGCTGATGGCCCTGTTGGGGGTGGGCTGCCGGGCTTCCAGGAGCCGCAGGTGACGGAGTGAGGGAAGGCAAGTGACCCTGAAAGGTGCCTTTGGTTTGGGGTCCGACTGCTGGCTTGGGGCTCCCTCTCCAGAAAGCAGGCCGTGCACCCCACTGGCTGTCACCCAGGTCCTGAGCCTGTGAGCTGTGTGAGGCCCCCCTCCTCTTTGGGGTTTGGGGCTCAGGGTTATTCCCAGCATGCTGTGGGGCTGTGATCCGTCACCCCAGTCCTGCTGGGATCCTGTTGTCAAGGGAATCGTGTGGGGTCACCGTGCCTGCCTCTGCTGGACGGGTGAACAGTAGGTGGTTCTCCCACAAGCCGCCGGCCGCGTCCTGGCTACAGGCATCGAGCAGGTGTGGGAGGCGTCGGCTCTCACAAGGCCCCGGACGCTGGTTCTCTTGGGCACGTTCCACAAGTCCCCACGTCGGTGACTGGCGTGTCTGACGGGACAGATTTGCTCACTTGAAAGAAGACCCTGTTTTACAGTCAGGAATGCAGCTTGAGGTTCCTGTGAGGTTGGAAATAGACAGCCTGCCGATCAGTTATTAATCTGTAACCAAGGAGGGGCCTGCCCGCCCCGCAGGACACTGGGGCCCCGGCCGAGGTGAGGGGTGCTTCCCAAAGGCCCTCCCCGGGCTTCTCCTTGAGGTGACCTTGGCCGGGGCAGGCGATCCTGCGCCTGTGCCGTAAACCAGGACTCGGAGGCTCGGGATGGCAGGGGCCTGCCAGGCGGACACGGGCCATCGCAGGCGCCTGTCTGGGTCCTGGAGCCGGCCTCCCAGCGGGGCCCTGGGACCACACCTTGGCGTTACCTGGGAACCTGTGGGACTCCGGACCCCGGGCCCACCCCACTCCTCCCGACCCCGAGACCGTGCAGGCCGTGTTTCCACAGGCCGTCAGGGGGCCTTTATGCAAAATAGGGCCTGAGAGCCTGCCCCGACCCCTTGGGAGCTCTCGGGGAGCAGGGGGGCGTGTGCGGGAAGGAGACAGTCTGGCTGGGTGTGTTGTAGGTGGAGAGACAGGCCGGGCCATGGAGATGGGCGCAGGCGTCGGTCCGAGTGGACACTGGGGTTCTCGGAGGACGTGGTGTTTGAGCTGGGCTTTGAAGGCTGAGTAGGAGCTCGCCAGGCTGAGCATCCGCACAGGAGATGCCAGTTGAGGGCACGTGCCTGTGTGGACAGGCAGCCCAGGGCGTGAGCCGGCGGGTGGGCAGGGGTCGGGCCTTAGTGGGCGGACGCTCCCTGGTTCTACCTGTCAGGGGGTGGAGGAGTCTGTCCCCTTTTCTTTCTTCTTTTTTAAAAAATATTTTTATTAATTTCAGAGACGAAGGGAGAGGGAGAGGGAGATAGAAACATCAATGACAAGAGAGAATCATGGATCGGCTGCCTCCTGCAGGGCCCACACTGGGGATCAGCCTCAACCTGGGCCTGTGCCCTGACTGGGAATTGAACTCCTGACCTCCTAGGTCGACACCTAACCACTGAGCCACACGGGTCTGGCTTCTTTTCTTTTTTTTTTAAGTGGAGATTAGATCGCTCGGGTGGTCCGTGGTGGACCCATGGGTTAGGGGCGGGCGGAGGGCATTTGCAGAGATGGTGGAGTGGGCCTTGCCTGGCTGTCTTTTGAGGTGGAATCAATGGGGGAGGGGCTGTGGGGCAGGTGGGATGGGAGGCAGCAGGGAAGAGGGGCTCCGGGCGGGCGGGCGGACTGGGAGCGTGTTGATTCTAAGCTGACTCCAGCCAGAGGCAGCGGGGATGAGGGGCAGCTCTGTAGGCATCCAGGTGCCTTCCCTCGGGCGGGAAGGGCAGGTAGAAATGGGAGCCTGCAAGCAGGGACTTGAGCGGCGCTGGCAGGGAGGAGGGGAGCTGCCGAGGTTGGGGGATCGGAATGTCCAGGAAGGACTCGATGGCCGTGGAGCTCTGAGCATCCACAGGGCGCTACCTGGGACAGGTGAGGAGGCTCCAGAGGGCAAAGGGCCTCCGTGAGCCAGTCCTTCTCCTCACAGCGTGCACATTGACCCAGGCAGCCCCTGGGGACTCCTGTGTGCGCCCCGACCTGTGTGCGCCCCGACCGGGCTCAAACCTGCAGCCTCAGCAGATGGGGCCAACTCTCCAACCCACTGCCTCCCGGCCGGCTGCCCGGCGCCCTTCTGTCCGTCCTCCTGCCGGCGGCGCTCTTGGTGGAGGCTTCCGTGTCCTGTGTGTGCAGAGCGCGGTGTCCCCTCCCGCACGAAGAACAGGCGTGTTCTCCGTCGAAGCCGCCGTGTGCGCCAGGGTTTTGTTCCCCGCACGTCTGTTCCTGTCACGGCGAAGCTTTGGGTGTCTGGGCGGGAACGCCAGCTCCGTCTGCGGAGCCCCGAGCCAGGGCGCGCCGGCGTCCCTTCTGACAGGATTGTGGGGACATCAGTGCCTTTAGCTCCTTTTTTTAAAAACAATATTTTTATTGATGTCAGAGAGGAAGGGAGAGGGAGAGAGAAACATCCATGATGAGAGAGAATCATGGATCGACTGCCTCCTGGGGATCGAGCTCGCAACCCGGGAATCGAACCGCGACCTCCTGGCTCAGGGGCCGATGCTCAACCACGGAGCCCGGCGGCCGGGCCATTTCTCTCTTCCTGTGGGTAAGTTTTGATGCCAACTGGATGGAAGCTGTGCCGCGGCTCCGTGTGTGGAACGCGATGCATGGAGGTGTCCGTCGGCCCAACTGCCTTCTCCTTCCCTCGCAGTTTAAATCTGTCGTCCGCGCCCCACGGAGCCATTGGACCGGGCGGGTCGCGGGCTTCCCATCTGTCCTCTGTTTGCACTTGGGCGCCATTCAAACACCACCCGGCAGAAGCTCATAGGCAAACATCGTAAAGCGACGCGAGCTCTGCTGGCGCTGGGGTGGCCTCAGAGTGTCCCCGGAGTCGCTCCCTGCTCAGCCTTTGTCCTAGGTGACATCGCGGGGTACCTGGCGGAACGGTGGGATGGAACCCCGAAAACCCAGGTTCTCTGGGCGCAGCGAGAGTGTCTCCCGAGCGGTTGATGCATACGGCTGATAGCTGGTGACATCAGCGTGATGTCACACTCAGACTGGGGTCATGACCTCTCCCACCCTGATCCGCCTCAGGCTCCTTCTCCCAGTCGGAGCCGTTCAGACCCCCATCAGCCCACCAGGAACAAAGGCCTGAGGAGATTTTGGGGGGAACGGGCGGGGCCCCAGCTCAGGGCAGGCGCTCGCTGCACCAGGTCATCGCAGGTGACCCCCTCATTTTCTGACCGGCTGCCGAGCGCCCACCTCATCCTGCTATTTTTATCTTATTTATGTATTTAATATGTTTTTATTGATTTTAGAGAGGGTGGGAGAGGGAGCGAGAGATGGAAACGTCAATGACGAGAGGACGCAGGAGGGACTTCGTGTTAGGACAAGCCTCATGGGGGCGGGGGGCGGACTGTGGGGTCTGGGCCTTGAAGGACGAACGGGCTTAGCCGGAGGTGGGACCGGGAGGAGCCGCAGGGGAGCATGGAGGCCGAGCAGCGGGAGCCCGAGTGCGGAGC